ACGCTGCCACTCTCATTCGTGGCCCTTTGCGCACTCGCGCCCGCCGCAACTCGCGCCACCTCGCCCCGAGCGTTCGTGCGCGGAGCGTTCGCGCGCTGTTCTGTGCCACTTGCGCTGTCGACCGACGGCAACTCGCCCCCGCCTCCTGCTGACGACGTTGTCCCACTTGCCGCAGCCCCGTCCGAAACAACGACGGCAACATCCTGCGTTCTGCCATTGCCCGGGCTCGCGCGCGGCCACCTTCCCTGGCTTGCGTCGCCGTCGCCCACGTCCGGGCCCACATGCCCTTCGACTCGCGCCCCCTTCCCTGTCGCCGCTTCATCGCCGCGCCTTGACGCAGCACGCGGGGCGCCACTTCCTCCGTCTACATTCGACCCCGCTTGTTCGGGACTCCTTGTCCCGCCCGCTAGTCCCCCGTCCTCCGTCCGATCCACGCCGACCTCTCCTCTGTTCGAGGGAAGGCCTGCCGTTCGCGGCGCCGACGATATCGACTGCCCGCCCAGAGTTTGGACGCGTTCGTAGACGAGCATGTGCACTTTCATATTCTCACCCTCTGGCCACACCGCTGTCTCCGCCGGATGTTCTACGACATGCGCCTTTTCGTCGTCTCGCAGCAACCACTGCTCTTGCCCATCCACATAGCTCGCGCACACGGGTACATAATGCCCCTTTCGCGCACATTCCCCGCGATGAAACACGCAACTCCGCAGTGCGTACATGACCCCTCCAACGCGCACCTGCCGACATGGCCTCACGTGGTGCGACCGAAGGACCTCCCTCCCTGCACGCGCGCCCCACGTCCATCTTTTCAATTGCATCCACAAAACTCCCGGAGCCCTCGCCATCCGCATCCGCTTCTCCGCGGAGGCATGGCCGCACGCTCGCGGACACTCCCGCCTATAATCTCCATCTATCTCCGACGCTCGATAGGCCTCATCAATCGCGTCCTGCGCAGTGGTGATCCGCGCGCCCTCGCAGGTCAGCACTGGCGCCTCCACGCAGGTCCGCGACAGCAGTTCCTTCACGCCTATTTCCCCTGCACAGAGCGCCCCCCCGCAATGGATCGATTCTGTGTTTGCGTAGCAGAAGGGCGCGGCCACCACCTTCGATCGGTCGGGGTCCAGCAGCTCCATCAGAAATTCGTGGGCATCTTCCTGTGCTTGGTGATAGAACACCTGTGCGACCGCCGTGGCAATAACGGGCCGGCTCCGCAAGTCGCCGGTCAGCTCGCGCAGAGCGACCCCGAACAGCGCGTCAAAATCTGGCTCCTCCAGGCGACTCTGCCCACCGCCGCGCCCCCGCTTGTGAAAACGCCACCAGTCCCAATGTCTCGCTGGCGCCGACGGGGCTGACCGAACCGCGCCCCGCGCGATGCGCGGCGCCAGCACCGCATGTAATGCCGCGTTGATCCAGCAATAGTTCTCTGGGTTCTTCAACCGTTTCAGCGGGGGCGTCGCTATCGGTTCGCCGTGGTGCCCAGTTTCCGAGGCTTCCGCCGCGGCCGGCGGGGGAAGCGGCCACGCGCGTGCCAATATCTCCCAAGAGCCGCAACCATTCAGTCCGCACTCCAACGTGGCCCCTTGCAACGTCTTCTCCGTCGACGCCACGCACTCTTCAAACGTTTCGCAGTGGACACCGTCTCTCCACTTGCGAAGACCATTCCGCGCAGCGTGGGGTCCCAACCTGGCGCACAGGCGGAGAATTGCGAGCGCGGGGTTCTGATCCACGCTTGAGAAACCACCAGCAGCACCACCGCCGCGAACGACACCCGCGCCAAAACGAACACCGTCGAACAACTGGACAGCCATTGTTGCTGCATCGCGGTGTCCATAATCTCGCCGACAGCCACGACAGCGCGAAGTAGCAACGCGACGGCGAAAGCAACAAGGGGCACCGCTACCAGAACAACCGCAGTCGTCTTCAATATTGATACCCATTCCACCAGACTGCGATGGTGACGCCCTCTGATATTTATACCCATAGTCTACACACACGAGTCGACTTATCCAACAGTAATTCCTTGGATTCGCCAACCGCCTCAACCAGCAAAAGCAGAATGAAAACGCGTTCCGGGGCCCTCCGATACCTCCGACAAACCAATAAAACACGAAGACGCGCTCCGGGGGCCCCCGAAACTTCCAAACAGCGGCCAAACAACGGAACCGCGCTGCGGGGACATCCGAGACCTCCAGCAAGACGGCAAACAACCAAAAAAATTTGGATCCGTGCCCCGCGCGTAAAAGGGCCTCGGTGGAGTCTAGCGTGTGCTGCACAACGACGCAACTCGTGATGGCCGACCTAGCGGAGGTTCTGTCATTTGGCTGATCAGCACGACGTCGCTCATGGCTTCCACAAGAACCAGACGGACGTGGTCGCACGCCTGTGGAGGATTCGCTTGCGAAGAGTTGTCGCCCTCTTCCGTGTTGCACTGAGGGTGGCACAGCAACGCCACGACGACGGTAGCAAACAGCGCCGCTGCGAATGCGACAAGCGGCACCCCAATGACAACGGACGCCACGATCGACAACAGCACCACCACCACGGAAACCGCGGAACGCGACACCACCGACACCGCGACTGCGACCCGCCATACCGCCGACACGGTGGTGGCAATCAACAGCGCCACCACCGACGCGACAACGGGAGCTGGCAGGCTCAGGGCATGAGCAGCCGCCACCACGCCAACGAACGGCAGCGGAACCAGAACGGCAACCCCGGTTCAACCCGGCAGCGCCTCCATGACAGTACCAACCATCACCACAACGGAACCCGGACGTAGCCCGAAAACAACACCCACGGCACCTCCCAACAACTGCACGACAGCGACCGCGGCCAAGAACACCACCTCCTCACCCAACTTGGAAACTCCGGCACGCCCGTGTAAAATCCAATCCTGGACTGAGGTCTTGTAGCAGAAACCGTCCGCCGTATCAGCGAACACGAACTTCTCCAAAAAACAACCTTGGCCCGCGTAGACATTCGTGCTCTGCAGGAAGAAGAAGATCTGCCACAGCCGCCGCTCTTCTCGTGAGCCCGGCACCAAAGTCGGCGGCCCTGCGATGGCCCCCATCTGCGTGACGAGCTGCACCGCCTCTTGCGCTCGTTTTCGTGATGGGGCGTGCAAAAGGTCCTGTTGATCGATCGCTGCAGAAACGACGTGGCCAGCATCGTTGAGGTCCAGCGCCCGACGGGCCTCGTCGGGGAAGCGCTCCTGGCACAAGCCACTACGTTCTCTAGATGTCGCTAAAACGTAGCCCATAAAGGATGACCATAGCGTGCGCTGATTCTCAAGCACCCCGAGTTCATCACCAAGTCTCGCCACTCGATTTGCGCAAGACTGGCCGGGGATATGTGCGAAACAGTCGTACGCGTCGCTGGTGAAAGATATGTCGGACGAGTTCGATGATCGACTCTGCTGGTGCACTGAGGGTAAAATGTTCGGTTCTGCCACGATTGCGCTGGCAGTGACTTTTGAAGCCTCCGCACCTGCAATGGTATACTTGCGAGCGCGCGGGCATTTCTGCCCCTCACGACGGACATGCTGAACGGCACCGGTTGCTCGGAGGTAGCAGCCGCTGGGCCTTCCCCAGCAAGCCTCGCAAGATCCAGGCGTAGCAAAAGTACACTTCATGACAAGAAGTTGTAATGTATGGATAAACAGATGGCTTGAAGAACGCCTGGGGAAGATGGCACCTGCAGCCACAAGAATGCCGGAGAAAAAATGGAATGGACAACGTGAGAGGGAAGACAAACTTCGGAAATATAAACGCACATGCCCGCGCATGCCGCAGAGTCGAAGATTCGGAGAGCGACGGATGAAAGAGTAAGGAGGAGGCCAGAGGAGAAAGGAATGAGGGAAGCAATCAGGGGAACGAGGGAAGCGGTTGTGGCAGGCGCACCCATATCAAGGATGTGACAGGCAACAGTTCAACGAAGAACCAATGTGTCAAACCAGATCGACGTCCAAAGGGTCCGAAGCCCGACAACGGCTCGCCGACGCCTACTCCGGAGGACAAGACCTGAGCGCCTCCGGAGGCTTCAGCAAAGCTTTCTAAACCTGGACGTTGCGGGAGGGGCCCGACCATGTTAGACATTTTTTCGATGGAGATTCGACCTTCGAATCCCACCAGCCCTCTTGGCGTGAGTGGTTGAGGGAGTCCGCTGTTTTCTCAACCCGCCTCTTCCCCTTCGGGGAGTGGTGCACCCCTCCCCCTACCCCCTCCCCCTGGACCTCGAGGGGGGGGGCCCGCGGGTGGTTGGAGCGTCCTTTTCGGCCCAAGACGGCGCCAAGACAGCCCAAGAGCGCTCAAGATAACCTCAAAGATCGCTCAAGACAAGAGGAGGAGGAGGAGGAGGAGGAGGAGGAGGAGGAGGAGGAGGAAGAGGAGGAGGAGGAGGAGGAGGAGGAGGGAGAGAACGAGGAGGAGGAGGACGATGACGATGGGGAACGGAGCGAAAAGGAGGTGACGTACTGCAGATCTCGTGTCCGGCCGAAGCAGCGGTGGTCAGAGGAGACAACAGTAGGGGGTGGTCAGAACGCGCCCCCCCATAATCAAGGAGGTGGTCAGAACGCGCCCGTCATGGCGGAATTGCTTCAACCGCTTCGCGAAAATAGTGCTTCCACCGAAATTCCACCGTACTTGAGGCAACACCACCGATATGGCGAAGGTTGGAGTGTTCATGATGGCGTGATTTATTCAACCTTCTCACGGCCCGCTCTGACACCAACCCCCGTCACTCCCCCTTGACCGCCTTACGCGGCCGGGGGAGCCACTGGGGACACCTCCAAAATGCTACGGGCAACCTTCAACCTCGGAAGCTCGCGCTGGCTCTGACACCGCGCCCGACGACGACGCCAACGGCCTCCACTATCGGTTGCGCCATAAGTTGCGCCCTCGGCCGCCGCGAAAAACAAATTCGGGCTACGCCCGCAAAAATGCCCTACGAAGTTCTCCATGCGCCCTCATGCAAATCAAGGGGTCGGCGGATGTGGCGTAAGCCTATAGAATCTTTTTGCAAAGCACTCTTCGCGATAGTATCTGTCCCGTTCACTTTTGTAAGTTCCTTCTTTGCCCACTCCTTGGCGCTCGCATGGGAGCCAGCTGCGTATGCTTTTGACTCCATTTGGCGACGTATGTGATCGCAGTCGCTCCAAATCTCGTTGACCTGAGCCATGATAGAGCTCAATACATCATCGTCGGGATCCACAAACGCCTGGATCGAGGTCAGCTCAAGGAGCGCGAGCGGCCCTAGGAGAAAGAGACCGATGACACACCCAGCAACGAAGAGACCTTTCCAAAACAATGCAGTGGACCAGTGAACGTAGTCAATGTTGTAGGACATGTGCATGGTGTACATACCCGCGACAAAGCACAACAGTACGGCCTCAAGCTGTAAGACCAACGCCAGGATGTTGCTCCAACGTGCCAGTTTCTCGATCAGCTGCTGGGCGGAGCCATGCTCCCCGCCGAGAAGCTTGTCCTTGACGTCGACATCCTTACCTGCTTCGTCTGGATCGCCTGCCTTGTCCAAGGTTGAGTACAGCTTGTTGCGAAGCATGCGAATGACAACCCATGTCACAAGGATGAGGAGCACGAGGATCCACTCAAGTTCGGCGTACCCGAAGATGTATGTGTCCTCTTCAGTTTTGTGCTGCTGAGACTTGATATAAACCATGGGCAAGCAGATGAGGCATGTAATGACCCACGTCTTCCAATTGATGTTTATGAGGTTGCAAATCTGATAGGCCAATGACTCGTTGAAATACGGGAGCCACGCGAAATTATGGTCGTCCAGCTGGTTCAAGGCCATGAATTGCTTCTGCATCTTTTCCGGCATTGGCTTCCAGCCCAGGATACTCTTGTCGGAGCCTGATACTACAAGCGCCTGGACTTTCACGCGAAGCCAAGAATAGATCCAACCCAGCAGAATCAGAGAGCATGCTGCGAAAGACACCAGCATATCGCAGAAAGTAAGCTGGGTCGCTGTGCGCGGGGAGATGTCAGGAACCACATTCATGATGAGGAACAGGGTCATCGCCACGATGCCGAATATCATAAACTCGGTGATGCACCTGTCAAAAATCATCTTGCTGAGACGATAGTCCTTGACAGCCTCCTCGGTGAAGTACTGCAACCGGTCGATGATGACGCCGTAGAAGACCATGCCAGCGAAGATGCCCCAGAACTCCCAGTTATCCAAGTCTACGGCTTTCAACTTGAAGATGTTTTCGCCGCCGCCTCCGCCGGCAGAGGCAAGCCAGGGCAACGCGCACGCCACAATAGCCACGTGAGCCCGAACGAGCGGGTTAGCGCAGGGAGCCATGGCAGCCTGCTCAAATTGGAAGAGAGCCTTTCACCAGAGCGCTAGGCTTTGAGACGAGCTACGGCCACAGTGGCTTGAGACACAAGCGCTGCGGAAGCACAAAGACATGGAGGAGGAGGAGTAGGAGGAAGCGCGCCGCGGTTGCGGCCTGCATGCACGTAACAGATTCCTACGGCTGCCGAGGCCGCAACCGATGCAGTCGTGATTGCGGCTGCCTAGTGCCCTAATCGTCGCAGAACTGTCGCGGCTGGTTCTTGTTCTTGGCGCTTTCGAATCATGCTCAGCGGCACGGTGATGGCACTGGATAAGGAGACGTAGTATAAGGAATCCATGGTCTGCAAGCCGGTGCATCTCCGTTCGAGGCTTGCCCATGGATATCACCGTCGCCCTCATCAGAGAAGGGATCCCCTGGGGTCTGAAACCTCCTTCAAATCCGCTACTCTATCTCCGTCGATCCACCGATGCATCAAGACGTTATCTGCGTCCGATCCACGACGTTATCGTCGCCTTATCAGATCGCATCCACGATGCGGCGTGATCCACCGACGTTCTCCGTCGAACCGATATGGGTTGCCTGGATTAACATGACCGAACTTGAGCTGGCAATCAACATTGCAATTTGAGTAGCCATAGCTGTCGCTTCAGCCGTAGCCTTGGCCGCGGCCTCAGATGGAGTCACCCTCGTTTAAATTGGTGCATTGACTTTGTATTTACATGTTGATTCACTGTGCTTCGTTTTGGCTGGCTTCGCATTGACGGGGCGACATCCGAACCCCAGCCTCACCAACCAGCGGCTCTCCTGAATCGACTGGACGTGTGGGTAAGGTTCGGACTTCGCCACATGTCCGACGAACTCCGAACCCGAACCCCGCCGCCCATCGAGTTACCCGAATCACTTGATCGGCGAAAGTAGGGTTCAGATCCCGCCACCGGCTTCCATCAGCAACCCCGCCCAGCCCTGTGCGGCTGTCCGCCCGCGGCCTGCCTGGCCGAAGCGTGGTCGATGTCGTCGTAGGTGACGCCACGGCCGCCTGCGGATGGGCACTTCTCCGGCGGTCGGTAAAAGGAGGGGGGGGGGGGCAACAGGAAGGGGTAAAAACATAGCCCCAACGGAGCCCTAAAGGGGCCATTTGGGGCCATCTTGTGGCCCCAAACAGCCCCTTGTGGCCCCAAAGGCCCATTCAGAGGACCTAAGGGTCCCATTTAAAGCCCCTTTTCCTCACCCCCCTTTCGACCACCACCCCTTGCCGTCCGCCCGAACTTCTTGTCAGGCTCTGACCCCCAGCAGCCGCCACGAGAGGCATTCCAGAGCACCCTTGGGAAACAGGAGGAGAAATATAATGACGAGGGCGAGGACGCCGAGTGTGACAAGGAGCAGAGCGAGGATAGGGAAGGAGAGGGACGGGAAGATGATGAAAGCGGCGACGACGACGACGACAAGCATAACCATCGGGCGCAGACGCAAGAACTGAGGCCAAAAGGAGGGGAAGCATCGGGCTGTAGGCTTCCGCAGTGTATTTGGATTGTCCGCAATCCTCTTTCCGGCGGCACGACCGGGCCATGCACTCGTGACATGAAGCCGCACTGCTCCCCGTGTAGCAGCGTGCAGCTGGTGGGAAGTATAGTGGCCGCCCTGTAAGGCCGCCGGGCAGACACGATGCGTTGGATCACCTGACGGTGTGCAAAATTACGTGGGAACACGCATGCAATAACGTGATGAGTGGCATTGGTTTGACTCTTCAACGGCCCCGAGAGGCGCGTGCGTGCATGAGTTTCCTTTCTGCAGGCCACGCCCCAGCCGCCCTCGCGGGCCGCCGCCGCCGCCGCCCGCGCGCATCGCGCCTCCAAGCCCCTGGCCCGCGCCTGCGCCAGGTCGCTGAGACCGCGCGCGCGAGCCACGGCCGCCAGGGGCGGCACGATGAACGCGTTCTCGAGCTCGGCGCGGGCGGCGGCAGGCGGGGCCCGCGGGGCCGCCGCTGCGCCCGCTGCAGGCGGCGCCTCGGCCCGCGCCTCCACGCTGGCACTGACCATCTCCGCTGGCTCCGCCGCTCCGCTGCCGCCCCCCGCGCCTTGCGCCGCGGCGCCCAGCTTCTCGACCAACGGCGCCCTGATGGCCACTGTGGGGGGCAGCAGCTCGCCGAACGGCTGCGTCGCGCCTGGGGGCCGCCCCTGCTGCTGGCCCGACCTGGCCTGGGAGCCGCCCCGCTGCAGGCGCCGCGGAGCCCCTTCCACGCCATCTTGGGCGTCCTGGCCTACATGAAGCACGCCGCGCAGACGACGAGCGGCGCCTCGGGCCCGCTGAGGGCCTGGCCCTGCGTCAGCTGGTGCCCGTGGACCAGCCAGGGCTCGCTCTCGGCACAGGGCGGAGGCGGCGCTGGCACGCTGCTCGCGCTCGGACCAGCTCCACGAGGCCGACGCGCACGAGTCTCCAGCCCACCTCGCTGAGGCCCAGCTTCGCCACAAACCTAATTATGACTTCAACTCCCCCGCGACCTCCGCCAGCGCGGTCACGGCCCCGATGGGCCTGCCTCTCGCGCGCGTCTCCTCTGCAGACGGGCAGGCCCCAATCGACGCGTCGGCCTGCGCTCCAGTCCCGCGAGCCGACTCCCCCGCCGAGGCCGCCTTCGCAGGGCCGCCCGAAGGAGCTGGCACCTCCTGCTCGGCCTTGAGCCTGCGCACCACCTCCAGCAGGAGTCGCCGCCGCCGCGGGGCCCTCCGCGCCGGCGCCGGCCGCAACCTCAGCCGCGCCGCGCACGGGCTGCTGGCCGCAAGGCGCTTCCGCGCCGCTAACCTGCTGGCGCCGCTAGCCGCCGCACCTGGGCTGGCAGCGCTGGGGGCCGCGCTGGAGGCCGCCGCAGATGCAGCCGCTGCCAGCCCTGCCGCCGCCGCCCAGCCGGGGAAGCTCCCTGCCGCCGCGTTGGGCTCGCCGTGGACCTCCACGGGGACCTCGACGACCAGGTCCTCCATGGCCGCCGCGAGCCAGCAGTTGCGGGCCCCCGCGTCGGAGATGCGGACCTTGATCTCCGCGGCGAAGCGCGCCGCGTCGCGGGCCCGCGCCGCCGGGCCCTCCAGAGCGCATCGTCTTCCGCCACAGCATGGAGGCCAGCCCCTTCCTTGGCCCGCAGGTCGGCCAGGCGGTCGCCGTCGCGCTCCAAGGCCGTGATCTCCCCGCGCCTGACCGCCTCCTCGGACGCGCGCGCCCCGCGGGTAGGGGCGCGCCCGGCCGCGACTCCCTCCGGGGCGCTCCCCACGCGGGCCCGCGGTCGGGCATGCGTGGAGATGGGGCCCTGCGCCCTCTGGACGTCTCGGACGAGGTCCACGGCCCCCTTGCAGTCGCAGAAACTCTCGCAGGATCCGACGAGCTCCGCGAGGGCAATCGCCGGCGCCGTCTTCGCCAGCGGCGCCGCCCCCATGCTCGGGCAAGCGCGCGTCCGTCCGCCGCCGTCGCGATGACGGCCCAGCCCGCGCTGCGCAGGGACGGGGGAGGCACCGCGCGTGCAGGGGCCACCCTTGGAGACCAGCGCGCTCTCTGGAGCGGCCAGAAGTCTTTCCCAGCCAGTCTGCTTCCATCCCCTATCTCTCAGCCAGCTCTCAGGCGCGGAAGATGCCCGCGCCCTTGCCCAGGCGGCGTGGCACGGGGCGGGGGGGGCGACGCGCCGCAGCCGACGGCGGTTGCACAAATGCAGATGCGACGGCGCATCGACACATGACAGGACGCTGTCTTCTCCGTGTATCCGCTGGCACCGAAGGCGCGCGCGTTCCATCCGGCAGAATGGCCGACCGCGCATTGTTTGCTCTCGGTCTAGAGTAGCGCGTTCGGAGGTGCGCCCACGAAGGCGCGCAATCAAGCGTTGGGGGCTCGGCGCGCGAACTGCGCCCTGGGTGGCGGTGTCCCGGGCGGGCGCCGCTGCAGCCCCGCGCTCGCCCCAGACGCCCGGGGCCCCGAGCGCCAGGCGCGGTCGCCAGGGGCCGCATGCCCCCTGGAAAACCCGCCCGGCGCCGCCCCAGCTAGGTCCGGGTACGTGTCGGGGGGCGCAGCCGCCGACGTGCGTTCACGGCGCCCCCGGACACGCACCCGCACCTCGCGCGGCGCACGTGGCCGCAGCGGCTCCTGGGGGAGCGCGAGATTGCAACGGCGCTCCTGCGGGCAGGCCCACATGCAACGGGGCGGTGGTGCCTGTCCCAAATGGGACAGGCACCGCCGCTCCAATGCTAGTCTAAACCCCGCGGACACCCCCCATGCCCCCAGACGTCCCTGACGCAAACCAGGGCATGTAGCTGCAATCAAACAAGCAGCCGTTCAGCGTCTCGTAGCGCCCTGACGCGCTGATTCTGAAACAGCGCGCGCGCGGCAGGCTGATCGGGCGCAGTGGCAAACGCCCAATCCAGCGGGCGGCACTTCTCACCTAGGCCGACCCTGGGCAAGGGCATGTCTAGGACCAACGAAGCCCCGCCTCGGGGCCAGGGCCGATGCATCCACAAGACAGCCTTGGGCAAGCAGCTCGCCGAACTTCGCGCGCCCATGCCTCGAGCCACCCCCGCCGCCAGCTGCAGGTCGGGGGGCGGCCTGTCTCGACGCCGGGCCTTCACGCAGGGCGCTCAAAGTGCCCGTGGAAGACCGTCCCTGCGCCACCCTGGCGGAAGAGGCACGCGGGGCCGATGCCCCCCTTGCGCCTGGCGAGCCTGGCTTGGGGCCAGTGCGCCAAGGAGACCAGCCAGCGCAAGCAGACCTTGTGGTGGCTGGACCAAGTCTCTGTCGCCGCCCTGCCCAGGAGAGCGGGCGGCAGCCGCCAAGGTCACAGCAACTCAGGCCGCGCTCCTGAGCCCCCTCCAGCGCCGCTGCCTCCCCGGTCGCCTGGCGGGCCCTCTCCGCCAGGAAGAAGGGCGAGAAGGGGGGCGCGCGTCGAACGCGCGGCCCTGCTCGTCCCGCAGGATAGCCCCATCGCTAGTGAACTGTCACCCGACGCGCTTCAAGGTGACCACCAGTGCCGAGACGGGGT